CTTCCCAGCCACAGCTCCTCTCCCGGGCTCCAGCGATCCCGCGAGCGAAGGCGAGCTCAGAGTGCGGCGGTGCCGGTGGTGCGCGGGGCGCTGTGTCCCCAGGGACAGCGCTGCCGCCACCACGCTCCGGGGAGCCCTTCCAGGAGGCTCCTCTAATTCCAAGGTCCATGCTTCAGTGGCACTTACGCAGCAGAAAACTTACTGGAAGCAMGATCCCCGAGGGGCATCCGCCCGCCGCTCTGGAACACACTGTTTATTAACTGCAGAGAGAGCTACAGTGGTATTAAAGCACACCCAATTAGCAAAGCCTGCAGGAGTATTCGCACTCCTCAATCTCTTGGTGCCTGAAAGGGTTAAAGCTTATTATTAGCATATAATTTACAGGTCCTTTCTCCCAGGAAAGAAATAATGCACAGTAAATGCCACATTCATTTTAATAATACATGTTACAGTCTGTGCCCAACATCTGCACAAAGGTAAAGCAGACAGATTTTTTTGACATGTCCCACTCTGCCATCCAAACGCAGGCTTTTTGTTTCTTAAGTGACGGAAGGTTTAATCAAGAAAGCAGGCAATTCATCAATCGAAACAAGGCTGCTCACGCCGCCCTGACAGCACACACATGGTTTTATACAGAAGAAACCTGGCCACCTGTCAGCAGCACCTTTTACATCAGGATATACAAATACTCCGAGTGATCAATCCTCCAGCTCTTCCCATTCGTTTCCTCATTCTCTTATTATATTTTTCTTTATGCTAGATGTTGCCCTCATTCTCTGCAGGGATAGATGGGAGACAAGGCAAGCTATGGCTGTTTATACACTATCATAAAAATTTATATACCCTTAAAGTGACTTATTTCCCTTCTATTTGAGTACCATTATTATAAATAATTTTTCACTTCACTCAGGAATTCTCCCTGTACGTGGTTATCTACGCCTGCCTGCGACGGCTCCCTCTCCCTCACCGTCCTCGCAGCTCCGATAAGCCAGAGCAATCGGCAGCCTCAGGGTGCTGGAGCCTGCAAGGACGGCGCGATGCAGGCACCGCAACATCTTAATTAGCGCAGGCCACGGTGCAGGGCTGCGCCATGGGTGCCGAGCGCTGCCGACGGTGCCAGGTCACGGGCGCTCTCCCCTGACAGCCGCCCRACTGCTCCTGCAGACCCGTGGGCTCCTGCCCAGAGCTCCCGGGGCGCCCGTGGGCCGAGCTCCGAGCACCGCAGCGTCAAGGGGTGGCGAGTGGGGCCCTGCTACAGCCACGGGCCCCAGCACGGCGGCACGGCGCGTGCAGACGCCTCCCTGCCTGACACAGGCAGCGCGGGGCCCTCTTCTCTTATGGGCCACCCGACACAGGCACATTAATTAATTAATTGTGCAAGCAGCAGTTTCCCAACACTTAATCGCCAAGACTAGAAAAGACAAAATGTGGGTTAAAAATCATAACAACTATTTTCAGGACCATTTTCTCCTCAACTGCCACTCTGCAATAATAATTACACCGCATGCAAAAAGATGTACACGAGATCCAGCAAGGCCATAGCAATTTCCTTCGAAATACATCCTCTGATATAGCGTAGGCTCCACAGCCAAAATTCCACCTCCCACAAACAGCTAACCACCAGCTGAAAGTCTCCTTTTCACCTGAGGTGCCTGTAGATAGGCGTGAAGAACYTGGACACGCGGCACTCTTGATTTACCCCCTTCACAGACCTCCCTTCCTCCACATCCCATCCCATTCTCACCACCAAGATGCAGATTTGGGTGACAGTGGAACTGTAAAATAAGAGGCTGTTGCTAATTGCTTTTGTTTCCCTGCGACAGGATGAGGAAACCTCCCATTTTGCTGAGAGCCAAGAGAGGGAGCCAGCAGCCTTGTCCAGAGACGCCCCGGTGCCTGCGCTGGGCGAAGGAGCTGGGCGCCCTCGCACGGGCCGCTCGCTGCGCTCCCCTGAGCTGCAACACAGCTGTGCTGGGCACCCGGCGCGCAGCACCATGTACTGCAGCACCGTGCGCCGCAGCACCGTGCGCCGCAGCACCATGTACTGCAGCACCGTGCGCCGCAGCCCTGCTGTGCAGTACCGTGTGCCACAGCCTAGGGGTGCAGCACCGTGCACTGCAGCCCCAGCCCTGCTGTGCAGCACCGTGTGCCGCAGCCTAGGGGTGCAGCACCGTGCGCCGCAGCACCGTGCGCCGCAGCACCGTGCGCCGCAGCACCGTGCGCCGCAGTCCTGCTGCCCGTCAGCAAGTGCTGCCCTCGCGCACGGACGGCCCCGCACCCGTGACGGCCTCCCCAGCACCCAGCCTGGCCCCCATGACGCGCTCAGCGTCCAGCCCAGCCTCATTGACATTCGCTCAGCTCCTGGCTACAGCGTTTTGGTCACCCATAGCCCCCACTGCTGCGTTYTAGTGACCCGCAGTGCCTGAGCGCAGCGTTTTGGACACGTGCAGCACGAGGGGTGCAGCCAAAGCCCTGCACACACCTGCACATGTCAGGGAAGCGCAGCCGAGCCGCGTTGGTGCCCTGCTCAGCAGCTTCCCCCACGGATACCAGCTTGGCCTCCTGTCCCGCCGGCACGAGTGACTCCGGCAGAGCCTGCGCTCTCACCCCCTGCCTGGTGCCGCCATCCCTCCCGGCAGATCTGACCCCGCAGCGCGGCAGCAGCTGCCCTGCTCCGAGGCTGCAGGACACAGGCGCGGGCAGCGCAGACCGAGTGCAAGGGACATGGACAGAGCAGGAACTCGGGAGGGTTTGCGGCGAGGCTCAGCACAAACTGCCTCAGCAGAGCAAACGCGGGGGGAACGGCCGCAGCACCTCATCACGGCTGCTGCACGGCGCCCGCGGCCAGCAGCGACACGTGGACAYCTCTGCAGTGCACTGGACGTTTCCTATGACAGGATCCTTTCTTCAAAAAGGCTTCACAGCTGCAATAGCCATTACAGCCCATGTAGGCACAACAACTCGCATAACAACGCGTCTGGAGGAGGATTTGCAGTGGGGGAAAAAGTAGAAGAGTTATAGACTGACTGAAATGTGCTCATGCAAATGTGGAAGAGTAGTGCTGTGGCCAGTTTTACAGGTCTGTTTTGTGCTTGCCTGTAATCACCTGGTTACATATTCAAATCTTTACAAAACAGGTCACCCTCCCAGGCGTGCCGTGCTGCAGGCAGGCGCCATGCACGGGAATTGCTAGAGCAGGGTCTGGGAGCAGCGCTGCTCTYGCCTCCGCTCCCCAGAGCTGCTGCCTCTCGGCCTGGCCACGTTTGATGTTTTAGCAAGGGCAAAGCTGCCGCTCTCCCATCCACCGTGYGGGACTGTCTCCTCTGAACAAGCTTCCCCTTACATTTCTAAATCTATTAGGGCAGCAGAGTAACAAGAAAAACGAGCACTGACAAGAATTATGCCATTGTTATATTCCATCTATTTAGGAACCTGAAGCTGCAGTTTCAGTCAGAGATTACCTTTTAAATAACCCTTTGATTATGGTACATGAATTAGTGCCATGTTCCCATGCTAGAAGTGTCACTCACTATTAATAGAAAGAACCTGTGAATGGCACATTTTTGCCACCTTCTCCTCCCTGATTATGCACAAGCAGCACTGCCTCCTGCAAAGCTGCTGAACCCACCACTGTGTTCTCCGGGTTTCCAAAGTGTCCTGAACACCCACTTCAGCCACGTGAAGTGGCTGCACTTTTGTGAGATTTTGACACAGTCCAAAGCCAACATTTTTCTTTTCTTGCAAAAATGGCATAACAAAGAGAAAGTCATAGCTAAAAGTGTTTCTACTGGGCTATCAYAGTATTTGTTCAGGAGTGGCATTAGTCAAAAACAAAATCTCAGGGAAAGTAAGTTGAACTGCAGCAGGACTTTGAGCCACGGCTGAAGCTGGGGACTACGAGATACACCACAGAGAACGGGCAGGGACAGGGCCTGGCGGTGCCACACGGCCCTCCCCTTTGCAGAACGCCAGTCCTGCTGTGCAGTGGAAAGAGCTTCCAGGCTCCCGACTCCGGGCACTGGCAAGAGCATGGGGCTCTGCTGAACACCCCTGTCCCCTGCCAGACACCACCCAAGAACCAGACTGTGCTCGTCTAGCTCATTCCTCCTTCCTCAAGCAATGAGAGCTTAAGGAAAACCTCTCCAGAAAAGCAGAGCTGTCAGGGACAGACCAGCAGGGTGCTAGACCAAAACAGACTGACTGTGTGGCCCTGGAGCACACACATCTGCATCACTTAATGATCCTGACCCCTCTATTTAAACGCACAACTTCACTACAGACCAGAACTGGTTAAAAGTTAAGAAAAAAAAAGCCAGCAAAAATATATAATATATTGACTTTTTTTTTTTCCACATTGACATCTGGAAACGATAACTAGCTCTAGCACTTGGGTACTAGCCTGGAACGGTGAGCAGAGAAAACAACCACAGCCAGCGAGGAAGCGTGTGAGCGCAAGGGCGTGYGCCTTAAAAATAGAGCAGACCCCCCTGCGCCCCAAACCTGCCTTAAGACTGGAGAAATAAACCTAAACACCACCTGTGTTCAGAACACAGCAAGGGGAAAGAGTAAAGATATCATCCACTTCGAACGTGTACCCTGAGTGCAGCATCAAAAAGCCACGCGTATGAACCCCATCCTTGTTAGGCAGTCCAAAACTGAGCGAGACATGTGCAAAAATGAGGTGCCTGTGACTTACCTGTGAAGATCACGGAAAAGATAAAGAGCAAAATTTGTGTGTTACATTTCATGAGATCTCCTAGCTAGACAGGCACGGGCAGCAGTAACACCTGSTGAGGGCTGCTCTTGTCGAGCGGTCACTGACATTGACCGTCACGAGCACGAGAGCTGCATCCGCTCCCACGCAYTCCGATGGCACCGGCAAGGACCAGRCACCATCCAGCGTCGGGCACCATCCAGGATCGGGCACCACGGCTCCCGGGCTTTTTTACATGTCCTGGTTAGGCAGGGGGGCCGGGAATCGCGTGTGCGCGGCAGCTTACCCGAAATGGCGTACAGATTGGAGTGCTGGTGCTCCAGGTCCAGACGGCTGCTGTGGCTTTTCCCTCGGAAGCTGGCGGGAAGYGTTAGAGAGATGTGCCTGAAGAAGAGAGACGGGGACACGCAGATGACATTATTACAGAGCAGGAGACACCGCCACTATCAGTGTGTTCTCACCTGACAATTCCAGTGAGGTCAAGCAGCAAACATCAATTTTAACACTGCTTGTAAAAGTCAGTGGGCCTCAAACAGCAGGGAGGAGATGGACGTGGTGATCCTGTGGCTGGAGCTGAGACCCCTGCCCCCCTGCCCAGGCAGCGCGGGCAGCAGGGGAGCGTTAAACAGCAGCAAGGGCTCGTCTTCGCTCAGGCAGGCACAGAGTAGAGCAGCTCCCGCACGGACCGACCGCCAGGAAAGCCCCTGGAGCGGCCCACGAGCAGGACCCTCCCTGCAGGAGTGCGAGGCCCAGCAGGAGCACTGGGAGCACAGCCGGATGCCCCAGCAGGAGCACCGGGAGCAGCTCCCGATGCCCCGCAACCCCGCGCAGCTCCTCCACGGCAGGCAGCGCGCCCACAGCCGCCTTTCGCCCGCACCACCAACTCTCAAACACCTAAGAAATAAAAGCGCTGGGGCCCTCTGCATGACCAGGCAGCGCCCCGACAGAATGCCCCTTGTTAGGGGCCATTACTCATAGACACAGATTTTTAGGCTTTGATAAGAAATTCAGGCTTTGCCCTTTTAGTTCCTATGTACATTTGCCTAATGCCGATCCCAGATCYGTGTGAATTTTTATAAAACGTTATCATTAATCTTCCGGACCCCACTGCCCTATGGAGCGAAGAGGCTCCCCCATGGCRGCGAAGGCTCGGCCTAGCGTGAAGCAGAGGCCGCCAAGGTGACGGCTGCGGCAGCTCCCTCGTGCCGCCCTTTCCTGGAGGAACAAGGCCCTCTGCTTCCCGCCACAACCGCCCAGGCCAAGCCCCGTGTCCTCTCCGGGACAGCATCTCCCACATTTTCTTAGCGACCACATCCTATTTATCAAGCAAAGCAGCTGGAAATCATCCGCCTTTAAGAACCAGACACATTCTGTGAAGACCTATATATTTTTAGGTCTTTATGAAAYTGATGGTGATAAGCAAAAGTAGCATAGGAAGACAAAAACGTCAATTTGAAATTGTGCTTTCCTGGCCTATTCTAACAAAACAGAAAAAAAAAAAGATGGTGTCAGAATATTTTCAAATTTGGCTAACAGTCTTCTGCTTAAAATACAATCCATATGAGCCTCCCTTTGCCAACACAGGCAGGTTTGTCATGAACATGCTTTAAAGCCAAGGACCAGTGCCTGTAGGCATTACACACTTTTCATTTGTTTTTTAATAAAAGTATCCAAAAATACATTCTGAGGCATCAGAGCAGCTAACAGCTAACAGAGGAAGGCTTTTGAATTTCTGCTGCTTGTACTGCAGGCTGGCTTTTCATCCCTACACAAAACAGCAGGAGATGTGTTGGAAGTAAACAAAGCAGATCTCTTTAAAAGGCCTGTTTTTGAGCAGTGTGTTTTAAAAGGTTATACCAACTTCTGCTTCAAGAGAGGCTGAATCTTTTCCATATGGACAATTCTTTCCAGCAACCGCCACCAAACAGAGACCACCTTGCACTGTTGGAGCGGGTCACGCACTTCTCATAACGGCAGGATGGGGACAGACAGTTCCACAAGTCGTTCCTAATGCGCTTTGTGTAAGCAGAATTAAGGCTCTGTCAGATCTGCAAACACATACCACAGCCTCCAAATAAAACTCTGCATTTCTAGTTTGCAAAGACTTTCTGAGCTAAGTCCCCAGTCACTACCAGGCAGGCCTGGCAGTTCACACAAGCACCAGGTTTCCCGAGCGCCATATGCTAAAGTGGTGTATACATTCCATGCGTGTAATTAAAAYGAATTGCTCACAGCCTAATGGGATCTGACCATACACACATAAATATGGCAGCAGAAGATCACATATCCAGACCTCGCTTGCTAACTCGGCACAATAACCTACTTGCTCTCCGTTTCAAATGCCTCAACACTAAATATATAGCTAAATATCCCCTTAAAGCTAGGGAGAAGGATGAACACCGCACGTGGGGTTCTTCCCCATCTGCTTTTGGGGCTCAGTCAGTGCTGAACTGCTCTTTGGGGGTGAGGTGCCAGAGCGGCCGGTCCAGCTGCTACCCAGACGGGGCTCCCAAGGGTGCGGGGTCTGCGGTGGTTGTTCAACAGAAACCTCTCCCCTCCGAGCCCCGCTCCCTGCAGCGGCACAAATTGGGGTTTCACCACCTCCACCGAGCCCCACGATGCAGAGCAAGGCCTCCGCAAGGAGAGYGCTCAGCTGCAAGACCACTAGGCAGAGGGCAATGATCCCCACAATGGGATCAATTCCCCCTTTTCCAAGCATGACATCGTAGGGAAAAATGGGAAGCAGTAATTTATTTTAAATGAATGCAAACTTTGGCCAGGATCAATATAACTTATACCTACTAAGTTGATTGCATAATGCATTTTCCTTATGGGTTGTGAAAGTCAGATCATTTTGCATCACAGAAGACAGAAAAAAGAAAGAAAGAAAAAAAAAAAAAGAGAGAGAGGCTGCCATTGAAAAGCAAGAAAATCCCAATTACAAAGTCCCCAAGTTCCTAAACACATATCGTGAAAGTATGTGCAGCTCTGCGGCATATGGCAAATCAATTACTAGTTCAAATTTTAAAACAAAAACATGGTAGATGTGTTGCAGAAATAATCAAGAACAACGGTTTGGTTTAGATTACAGCGGCCACTAGAGTTTTGAATACAATTAATCATCATTCCAGGCAATGGGAAGCCATATTGACACTTATTCCTAATTTGAATATTTAATTAGGGTGAAGTTCTTCATCAAATTATCACAGAACTGGGAGGAAAGCCTGAAAGATTTAAGCAATTACTACTTTAACCCTTGGTCAACTGCTCACCTGCGAGCCCGGGAGCCTTTTCCCAGCTCCGCAGAGCAAGACCAGGCTCAGGAAAGCACGCAACAGGGAAGAGGGATGCCTAAGAGTTGGGAAATGCTGTGGGAGCCGCGTGGATGTGGGCGCCCTGCGGTTCTGCCTGGGGATACAGGCGAGAGGGGCTGCTGTGTGACCAAGCTCGGCCCCGCGGCCGCAGCACCGGCACCAGCACCGGGGCCCGCTGCTCCTCGGGCTCCCGCGCACAGGGGCCGCTCAGGCCAGCGTCRCGTGGGGCTCGGCCCCCGTCCCAGGAGGGAGCGTGGCCCCCGCGGCCCCCCCCGCACGCTGAGCTAATCCAGAGAATTCGCTTTTAATGAGGAGCGATACAGCGCTGAACTCTCCAGAGCCATAATTAGAGCAAACTAATTGAAGTTGTGTTTTGACACACTTTCCAAATTCACGGGTACTGCATGACATATTCACAACACTACTGCTGCACAGCCATGGCGACAGCAAAATCATTAGGCTAATAACGCTTATTTGCATTCTTATCATGCCAGCAGCACGCCGTTAAACACGTCTTCAACCAGCGCTCACTTACTATGAAAGTTTCCACCGAAAGATATTAACAGTAATTATGAGGACTTTAGTGGAAYGTCTAATGTTAAGGAATGCAACTCACGTTAACTATCCCAATGCCGATTACTTCCCTTTTGAACTGTCACCAAAAGCAGTTTTTCCTCACCCGTTGGGCTGCTGGACGAGGTGGGTTCGGTGCCCTGCGGCCGCAGCCCCGCGCTCGCCAGCGCCGAGCGGAGAACACATTGGCTGAGCACGGGCTCCGACACGAGCCCCGGGAAATGCTCTTCCCCGACATCCTGCAGCGTGCACACAGCCTGGGATAAAGCAACCACCGCAGCGCAATCCAGCACGGATTTAATTGCGCTCTTATTTTTAGCTATGCCTTTATTCATCAAATTTATGAATCAGACCTATGCATGACAGCAGCAGAAGTAGCAGATGATAGGAGAGATCCGTCACAGTCTGGTAAAGGAGGTTTGAGGTCTGCATACAGTATGGCCACTTTTTGAATGCTTGTTTGAGGAAAAACTCTCATAAAGCAGGTCCAGGAATGCCCGACGGTTCCAAATCGGTTATTAATAACCGTCTGCATGAAGGTGATGGACCGCTTTTGAAGTTGGGGAGCAAGTACTTATRAAAAGGAACAACGGATCACAAGGGGAATTCACAAAGGGAGATATCAAAGGATACTTCATAATTCACATAAAATATCAACAATGCAAATCAAAAGGACAATGGTACGTTTTTCGTTTTCAACTGGATTGAGAAAATCAGAGAAATCAGTCCAAATATAAAAAACCTGCCCCACTTATCAATTTACTAAAAACCATACTGCATATTGCAGAACTGGAATTTAATTGTATTTGATGCATCACAGTCACGATTGCAATTTATTTAAATGAACTTGAGAACATTGCTACAAAAGCTGTACAGTCCCAYAGGAATAAAATAAAAAGAATCATATCTTGCATAATCAATGAATTATGCAAAGATCATGCCTCATGAAAAACTACAGAGAGCAATTAAATAAATACCAAGTTGCAGAAAGCCAAAAACACACCTAGAGRGGCAAATGTCTGGCTGTACCTTTCAAGAAACATAGTCCAGCATGAAAGCTTTGCCTACGGACAGAGGAAAAAACACATTTCTGAGAAACGAGCCGCCAGCGCTTCCCTGAGAAAAATCAGGGGACTGTTCAACAAYTGCTCATTTTTCCAGAATATATTTTCCAAACTGTAGTTTACAGAAAATGCCATAGCAGATACCTACAGCTTTAGCAGTGTCCAAAATCACATCCACAATATTTATTCACAGTCCTTAACTTTTACAGTGCCAAAACACCTACCTCATACCCTAAAGAACTGCAGTGAAAAACAGAACTGTTAGGCAAGAATCACCTCGGGTAACGGACTTCATTCCAGACAATCTATTCTCATCATGTAAACCAAATATTTAAATACTTTCTACAACCTTACTGACCCTTTGCCTAAAACAAGCAACATATGGGCTTTCCAAGCAATTCATCTCATTCCAAGCTACTAAAATATCCAGTTT